TGAATGACAAAGCCCCAGTAAGCTTCATATTAAAGAAGAGAAAATGATGGAATGAGAGTTGGTAAAAGTAAAAAGTGGGACTTTAATGCACGCTCGGCAATGTTCTAAGTGCCCCAAACATACTTAAGATACATAGGGAGTAGATACATTAAACTATATTAAAGTTGAGAAATGTAGGCACATAGAGTTAAATTAGTAATAAGACTTCACAATAAAAACAGAATTTTGAAGTAAAATAACATTATCTTTTCTAATATTTAAGGAGATACTTAGTGTTCTGATAATGAGCATGAATTTCTGTAGAAACACATTTAATCATTTCACAGGATAACAAATCATAAAGCAGAAAAATATAACATCTGCTTGTGGTGATCCTGGGATTTATGAACCAAATACCAATATCACCACAACACTTACACATGTCAGACCTGATGCAATAAATGCAGAGAAATTAAAAAAATGGTTTGCACACAGGTGTGGTGGCTCATGTCTGTAATCCTAGCACTCAGGGAGGCCAAGGAGGGAGGATTTCTTGAGCTCAGGAGTTCAAGACCAGCCTGAGCAAGAGCAAGACCCCATCTGTACTAAAAGTAGGAAAATTAGCCAGGAAATGTGGCACACACCTGTAGTCACAGCTAATCAGAAGGCTGAGGCAGGAGGATCACTTGAGCCCAAGAGTTTGAGGCTGCAGTGAGCTACCATGATGCCATTGCACTCTACCCAGAGTGAGACTCTGTCTCAAAAAAAAAAATGCTTTACCATAGATTTTATTAAATATACACACATATTTCCATGTCTGCAATGGAATGGAAAGCAGTCAGTACCTGCAGTCCCTTATAAACCATGAGCAGGGCTTTTGTTCTCACTCTAACCTTAAATTAACTACACTGAAGAGAAATAAAGTCCTTAGATAATTTAAGAATAAGGAACAAGGAAGCCTCTATCAAAGATTAAGAGAAAGAAATCCAGGATTGCCAGAACCCATTTCCATGGAAGCAGAGTTTTCCAAGCACTTTTTAAGGTCTGCCTTCCTCATTGACCTTTGGAGCTCTCACCTGTGTCATCTGCTTCACTTACTCCCACCTACCTGGGTGTTTGGCTACTGACTCACTTGTCTTCACATTCCAGGGCCCTTTTCTTTGCTCCAGACAGTTGATCACGTCTGGCTTAGAGGCAGCAAGACCTGTTTTATTTGGAAAAACATGACATTTTGGGGAATCTTCCATTATCAATACAGTACTGTGCTCAGTAGACAAATGGTAACAGTATAGAAGCTTCTAAAAAATATTAATCCCAAAATACTAATTCCTGACAGACACTTTAAAATATTTAGACAGTATGAGAATTTCGGGGTCCTTAGCTCCATTACCTAGTACTGTAGAATCAAATATGGGTGGTAGAAATTGGATTTTAAGCTATGAGCAACAACATCTTATGCCACTAAATTTTTGAAATTACCACTAACGAGGAGTGAAGGATACAGCTCAGCTCAATAAAGGGAAACATTAATGTCAAGATAAAACAGATTGAAGATTTTGTTTTCTATACTAACGAATCCCACTTTTTCCTTGGAAACAAAGATCAGAGCTTCTCTCATGCAAAGCAGAAAATCCCAGAGAAATTCTACAAAGGTAGAATATAAAATACTTAGTGTGGAATAAAAATTGTGTATTGAAATGATCTTTACCCAGGAAGACCAAATTTCTGTAGTTCTCAAACATCACATCCCTATACAAATTCCGCTGTGCATTGTCAAGGCATGCCCACTCCTGCAGAGAGAATACTATGGCCACATCCCTGAATGTCAACAGTCCCTGAAAAAACAAAACAAAACAAAACACATATATACCAAGTGGTCATGTGGAGGATTCTTAATTTCACTGCTGGAAAAATAAGGAAGTGAAGAGAATTGGTTCAGACTCATATGAATAACTGGAATTATTCAAAAAGACAATTTATAACATAGAAATATTCTCTAATGTGTTAGCTGGCTCTGAGGAGAGAGGATGACATAAGGTCTACAAAATTCATGTAGACGTTATACTTTTCTAAATGATAAGGTATAAAATTCAGGTCACCAACACAGATATTTATATTTTTGAGTACTATATTTACAACATACTGGATAAGTTGTATATATTTTTCAGATGGAAAAGTCATGTTGAGTTAGAAGGTATTAATGCATGTTAAGTTTTGCAAAGTCTTCAATATGTACAACAGTGAACTAGAAATCCTAATAAAATACAGATTTTGATTCCGAAAATCTAGGGTGAATCCTGAGTTTCTGATTTCTAACAAGCTCAGCAGTGACATCAATGCTTCTGGCCAAAAGGGAATATTTTTCAAACATTAAGTAAGCAGCAGAGTCTGGCTTCATCTCGGTTCAATTGACCAGGATATCAAGATGAGGGCCTGTATTTTCTAAAGCAAGTTATATGCAAAGGGAATCTAAAATGAAAATGGGAGCTTCCACGTGAAATGTGATGGTTTATGCTCATCAATAGGAAAAGCTTCACAAAGTACTCAATATAATTAACTCTATATTAGAAAAATGATAGAGAACACGTTAGCCAAGTGAATAAAATTAATATCAACTATAATACAACAAATTAGTATCAGGTGTCAATGCACACAGACATACCATCACTGCTGTGATATTTTGGGCCAAAGGAAAAATGTAATTTATAATCTGAATCTACTCATGAACATCAGTTTTATGCAAAGTTCAAGCTATAGATGTCTCTCGTGTTCTGTAATCTATAACAATGTATTTAAATAGTCTTTCTTTAGTATCCTAGAGAGCAAGTCTCTTCTAATTATTCTTTTTCTCAGAAATTTCTGAGTTATTCTGAACAATTAATGTGTATTCTATTAATCTTGTTCTGCACAGAACTGATGGAGCATCTAGATAGAACCTAAATAGTACATGTTCCTCTTCTTCACTGATATCCTAGGGACTGAACTCATCTCCAATAGTAATCTTGGGCATCCAAGATTCTGCTTCCAAGATGTTCAACGGCCACAAAGGGAATATCTTTAATATTTTAGTTTATAAATTTATGGTGACAATTGTTCATGATGTATAAGAGGTGTGGATGCAGAGAAGTCTCTGGTATATAGGAAAAAATAATATTTCAGAGCTTGTTGACTATCATTAAAAAAAAAAGAGAAAAAAGTAGTTAAAATGAACACATTAGGCAGGAACAACAAAGGAGAAAAGTAATGGTTTGCAAACTCTAAACACATGACATTCCAAGAGGAAAAGTAAACACAGCCCCTGACCTGGGACACATTCACCTGAGAACCAGCCATTTCTTTCTGTTTCTCCTTCTCAGTTAAGATTATCTGGAAAAGTCACAAATGTATCTTGGGAATATGCATCTAAAGGTGTCAGCACAACCCTGTCCCCTACTGCCACCACACTCACAACAGAAGGACCACGAAGTACAGAAAAAAAATTCACACTTCCCTGTCATTATTACAGGAGAGAGTCAGGAGCAATAAGCTCCTACATAAAGATCAAAATGTCTGTGTTTTTCTTTCCTACCTTCAGGTACCCCCAACTGCCACAGTCACTGGCAATTTTGTGGCAGCAGTGGGAATATGGACCACACTGACCTCTCCCTAAAAACCACAAGCAAAGCAGGGCCTGTGACCTTCCTTTGGAACAAAGTCTGAATTCAAACCTCACGAATATATCTCAGAGCCCTTGTACTTTTCCCCTGGCTGCAACTTAGCATCACATGTGGCACTTCATTATAATCACATCAATGCTCCCACCTAGAACAATAGACAGACTCTGTGCCTGGATGGAAAATCTCTTAGAATGTGCCTATAAATCATTTTGTAATCTGGAGCCCACTCTAAGTAATGTGATTCTACAGCCAAGGAATTCATCCAAGGGGTCCATGAATTGGCTCCTTGAAAAAGTCCCCTGTGAATGCTGATGGTGCTTCTCCTAGACCCACTATGAGAAGCTTCTCCTAGACCCACTATGAGAAGCACTCAGCTACAGGCAGCAGGTACAGCACATAGGGAGCATTACACCCAACACTCTTATGGCAAAAATACTTTGGGTCCAAAGTGAAGACCACCAATTGCCATCCTGAAACATGGCATTCTATTAAAAGTAGACAGAGGCTAGAGAAGGCAGCAGTGTCTGAGTAAGTCTGCATTTGGAAAATATTAGCCTTGCCTGAATGCTACATTTCCTGAGCCTGTACGATGTGTTCACAAGTATGTTGCAGCGGTGGTCCCCAACCTTATTATAGGCACCAGGGACCCTTTTCAAGAAAGACAATTTTTCTACAGATTGGGGAGTGGGGGTTGGTTTGGAGATGATTCAAACTCGTAATTTTTTGTGAATTTCATTTCTCTATTACTACACTGTAATATATAACAAAATAATTCTGCAACTCACCATAGCTTGGGGATCCCAGTGTTACAGTGCTGGCAAACTCCAAGTTTGGGAGTTAATTCTCATAATACCCTGGGAGTTGAGTACTAAAGACCCTATAATTTCCAGGATTTAGTTGAAGGGCCCACCCTGTTTCTTTTATCTATCATTGATTTTAAAAGAAAAATGTATAGAACAAAAGCTAAATATAAACAAATGGAAGAGATAGAGAAAGGAAAGTTGGGCTGTAGTTCAGAGGGTTTTTTTTATTGTGTTTATATTTTCTGCCTGTAACTTGTGGAGCAACTACTAAATGTAAAGGAAAACAAAACAAGTTGCTAGGTTGTTTCTCTGGGAGCATAGGTTTTAATAAAAATAAAGAAATTAAGTCCCCCAAACAATAGCCCTTAGCCCTTATATATCTAGTTTTGGGATTGAGAGAATTGTAAACATAAGCTCTGAGGAGACAACACGAGAAGCCATGCAAAACTCTTGTCTCCTCTTATAAGTTTTGTGCAGAGAGAATCCAACATTGATTCAGACCTAGACAAAGCTCAGAAGACAGTGGATCTGGGCAGGTTGGGGTGGGGAGAGGGCCCAAGGCTTCTCACCTCTATTCAGTTAAAGTATATTCAGTTCTAGCTTTTCTACATCTTCCCAAGAGAAACTTGACTCCCAGAATTTGTATAACTTCAACCTATTCACACCATTTTGGGGCCTCTTTTATAACATAATAACAAGTGATATCAGAAAATCCCTCAGGGTTTTCTAGGACAATGATATTTGAAGCTATCTATTTATTCTTGAATCCTAAGAGGAAAAGACACTCAAGAGTGAAGCCTGCCTGAACCTACCACTCTGGGAAGCTGAGGCAGGAGGTCACTGGAGGTCAGGAGTTGGAGACCAGCCTGAGGAATATCTCATCTCTACTAAATCTCATCTCTACTAAAAATCTCATCTCTACTAAAAATAGAAACAATTAGTCAGGTGTGGTGGTGTGTGCCTGTAGTTCCAGCTACTAAGGAGGCTGAGGTGGGTGGATTCCTTGAGCCCATGAATTTGAAGTTTCTGTGAGCTAAGCTAATGCCACTGTACTCAAGCCTGGGTGACAGTGGGGGACTCTGTCTCAAAGGAGTAAAGCCTGGCACCTTATATGTTTGTATTATGTCTGGTAATTCTGAACAATGCTTCAGAATTACAATTAAAAACAAAATTATTTCCAAGCCCAGAAAATCTCTCCACAGTGGCAGCACAGAAAGAAAACTCTTTCATTACATAATTAAATCAGAATGTGATGCGCATCACAGACAATCTTCTAAGAGCTTACAAAAACAAAATAGAAAGGTCATTATTTTTCCTCAAATTGAGATGGAGCAAGGTCCCCTCTATTTGTCCTGCAGAACCCCCCAAGCATGTCAATAGATAAAACATCCTGAGTCCCTTCAAGGAAAATTCTGGGCAGCTAGGTACAGCAATTTGATGAGCAAAAGACAATGATACCTACAGTCCTCCAAGCAAGCCAGAGTCATGGGGAGTTTTAGTTTCCTACAGAAACTAAAAGATAAGCCAGGCTCGGTGGCTCACGCCTGTAATCCTAGCACTCTGGGAGGCTGAGGCGGGCAGATTGCTCAAGGTCAGGAGTTGGAAACCAGCCTGAGCAAGAGCGAGACCCCGTCTCTACTATAAATAGAAAGAAACTAAGTGGCCAACTAATATATACAGAAAAAATTAGCTGGGCATAATGGTGCATGCCTGTAGTCCCAGCTACTTGGGAGGCTGAGGCAGCAGGATTGCTTGAGTCCAGGAGTTTGAGGTTGCTGTGAGCTAGGCTGACGCCATGGCACTCACTCTAGCCTGGGCAACAAAGTGAGACTCTGTCTCAAAAAAAAAAACAAAAACAAAAAAGAAACTAAAAGATAACCTGTTAACATATGTTTTGAGTTATTTTTCAGAACTCTCCCCCATGGAATATGCAGATAGGAGGGAACTGATGAATTGAACTCTGACCACAGGTTTCTTCCCTAAATTTCTGTCTAAAGGGACTAGATAGAGAGTGGAACATCACCTTAAAATCTCTTTCTGCTAACGAAGTCATCTAGGAATCCACCAATGACCAATAAGCATCTGCTTCAAGATATCACAAATCAATATATAACCTCCATATACTGATTTACAATTTTGCCTGCAACTTCTGCTTTCCTCAAATGTGCCCATATCTTTAAAGACCTTTGCCTGTGAGCCACTGGGGAGTTCCAGTCTTAAGCGTTAGGTGTCCATTCTCCTTGCATGGCATCTTGCAATAAAATGCCCTTTTCCCACTGCAACTCTTTGCATCAGCATCCATCTTGGCCATGCTGGGTGAGTGGACCCAACTTAGGTCTAGTACTAAAGATTTGACAATATCATTTGTCCTATATAAAATTCATTCTAAATTAATCTGGTGATTGAAGAGATTATCTGTGTTTTGGCTACATTCCAAGGAAAATTAAACTTTCAACATCTTCATGATAGGAGGTAGTTTTGTAGCTTGGAGCCATGTGCCCAGTGAATGTAAGTTCCTACTCTCCAATGCAAACTGTGGGATAGGGCTGTATCATCTTTGCTATTTACATTTTAAAGCAATGGGTTAAAGGTTCTAGAGAAAGACATTCCTGAGTCAAAAAGATCAACAAAAGGCCTATTTAGAGGTGAAGATGATTTACATATAATTCAAAGAATATTGTACAATATTTTAAAAAATGTTTTTATATATAAAACTAAGAAAAATTTACCAAATGTCATGAGGACAGAGAATACTACTACAGCTTCAAGGAATATATCCAGAAGAAAATTTTAAATGAAAGATGCAAAACATATAAGAAAAACGTTAAGATTCCAAAAGACACAAAAATGACCTGCAGCTGTTTGTACAGAACACAAAAACATCCTCAGATACTGATTCTAACACAATCAGTAGTTTTACAGAATAGGCAGAAAGTTGACAAATAAAAGAGAGTGGCTGATAAATAAAAACACAGTAAAATTGGAAATGCACACTAAAACTACAGAGGGATCAATATTTTCATGCATCAGTTGTCAAAGGCCCCACAATTTTCAGTGATGTTGTAAAGAAATAGACACTTGTGAACATTTCTGCTGGAAAGTCAAAGTTATATAATGAAAGTACAAAGAAATGCACAATGGCATTAACCTTGGATTCTGGAAACTGAATTCCAGAAATGTACCGTGCAATATGTTTCACCAACATGAAAAATATTTTCAAGGTTATCCCCTGTGGCTTTATCCATAATAGAAAAATATGGGAAAGTACAGCTATGTCCATTAATATCACACAGACTTATAGTCCCATGACATCCTCATAGTAAAACACTCTGCAGTCATGAAGGTAAAAGAGAAAGGTCTCTGTATGCCATTATGGAGCAATAGACATGACATACTGTGGTATGAACAAGCCAAGGTGGTCAAACACTTGATTCAAGTCAATGTTATGCATGCACACTTAAAGAAGGAAACTAAAAAGCAAAACCAAATAAATGAAAATAACTATATATTATATCAATGTGATTAATATTTTTAGTTTAACCCAAACAACTATGCCTTCTGATTTATCAGCAAAATATGTGTGTATTTATTATAATGTTAAGGTTATTGTTCCTATGATACTTGTCTACCATACAGGAATATAAAAATGGTTAATAAAAAGTTTAACTTTGAGATGATTGCTAGACTTATCTAAAGGTTCATGAGATTTCATACACATAATTGTTAAGACTGGATAAATAGACATAAATGGATAAAATCTTATAAATCAATTTATAATAATAATTATGTTTCATAATATGTTTACTTAAAAATATTTTCTCTAATAATTTTGGAGAGCCAGGAATCATGGATAAAAAACAAAATATCATAACATCACAGAAATTGTAAGGAACTTAAATTTCATACTTCTAGACGAAAAACAAAAGTATTTATCTCTTTTAGACAATAAGTAGGCTATTTCGTTATTATTTTCATGATAACAAATCATTTGGTAAACAATGGCATATGAACTCTTCTAAGAGTTGTCAAACCCCATCTCATAGGCTTTATAGTTAAGTTCCAACATCCAGATAACAGGACACAAAACAGTGATCCACTTTCACAAATCCTACACACACACACAAAGGAGGAGGAATAGGTGTTTTGGTGAATATTTGTCATTCACTTTTTTTCTCACACTTTCTTGTGGAAATGTATATATTTTTCTAGTACACTCACTCTGGGGAAGAAAATAGGTAAGCAATAATTTTTAAAAATCAATATATAGAGTTTTTCTGAAATCTACTTTTTCCTTTAAAAGTATTTTCTTATATTCAAGCTCTACTGCTAAAATTTACTTTACAGTTAATGAAAAGCTTAAGTTGAATAAAAAATTCTTTTCAAAGTTTCAAACTCAGGGAGTAGAAGTGCTGACAGGAACACAGACTTATCTGACTCAAATGTCAATATAGGCTATCTTATCAGTTGGGACATCCTTCTAGAAAACCTTCTTCCTACTTATTGAAATGTTCAAAGACCACCCTCACACAACAGGAGCCACTTCACTGGTCCCCCCGTGTGCCTAAAGTGCAAATTGCTGTGCAGATTCTTGCACCATCTTACTGCAGTGCCCTTTTCTTGGCTTAGGGACAGTTTTTCTCCCTTCACAAGTGTGAGAAAATCCAGCGAACAGGAATCATTTCTGGCCAGGCACAGTGGCTCATACCTGTAATCCTAACACTATGGGAGGCCAAGGCGGGAGGATTGCTCCAAGTCAGGAGTTCAAAACCAGCCTGAGCAAGAGTGAGACCCCATCTCTACTATAAATAGAAAGAAATTAATTGGCCAACTAATACACATTGAAAAAATTAGCCAGGCATGGTGGCGCATGCCTGTAGTCCCAGCTACTCAGGAGGCTGAGGCAGGAAGATTGCTTGAGCCCAGGAGTTTGAGGTTGCTGTGAGCTAGGCTGATGCCATGGCACTCACTATAGCCTGGGCAACAGAGTGAGACTCTGTCTCAAAAAAAAAAAAAAAAAAAAAAAAAAAAAAAAAGAATCATTTCTGTCTTTTCCCCTTAATGCCAGCAACCAATGGTTGGGCTGACCACAAATATGTCTCCAAAAAATGGAAACTGGGGTTGGGGGTAAAAGTGTTATGGCACAAAGGGTTATCCCTTTTCATGAATGGTGTGATAGGAGAATTCTCTCAACCCCAGGGCACCCAGCTGTTCTCCAGCCATGATCCACAACCACACTTCAGGCTGTTCTCTGGGAGTACATGCTGCAGGACTGATATTCACCACACGTTCCAAGAGTTATGGTCACCATGAGCATCTTGGGTCATCCTCAGACAATTTTGAAGCCTAGGTCCACAAGAAGACAGGAGGATGTCCCAGGACACATTATCCCATAAAGTTTCCAAAGGAGAACCTCAAACCAAAGAAACCCTGGTAAGATGTCTGTGCCTAGGGAAGATAGAAGGAGGAGAGGCAAGATATATTTTTAAAGGTAGTGACAAGTGAATATTCTCTGATTTCTTCTCATCTGAAATGTTCAGAAACACAAAATGAATACTTTTTAAAGCCACCCATTGCTCTGTGCAAAAATGATAACAAATTAAAACATTCTATTGGAAAAGTGAAATAAAGAACAAATAGTTGATAATGTTGTAATTGGTGAGGAAAAGTTGGTATTTGGGAATTTGGGGAGGAACTAGAAATTTAGGCTTTTACCACAAGCCCTAGATGGGTTACGCTAGGGGATCAGAGGGACAGAGTGAGATTCTACTTGCCATATATTTGGATAATGCAAGGGAAAATAAGGCCCTCTGTGGTGCAAAAACAATAAATAAATAATCAGAAGGCAATCAGATGGAAGTGACTGTAGTGTCCTGGGTTCCTACCGAAAAATACCAAAATTTGATTCAAATACTTTTTTTTTATATTACTAACTTCGTGAGAAACAAAATTTGGCTTAACCAACCACAAACCACCAATTAACCTCTGATCACATACCTGGGAAGTATCCATCAGGATAGTCCAAGTAAAGCGATGGCATAAAAACTACACAGCTATAACCACTCAATTCTTGAACTTGGTTTGCTGTCTCCTGCACTTTATGAAAGTCTTTGCTTCAAGCCCCCCTGGTGGACCCCAAGAACAAACCATGGATGATTGCTGTCTGATCCATAAATGGCTGTTTGTTCTAATAAACTCTATCATGTTTTTAAGCAGTTCCTTGTTTGATTTTTAACACCAGAGCGGAGTGACGGGGACCCAAGGGGCTACAGCTCCTCCCATGCACGGACCTCACACACCAGTCAAAACTCATCCCTGATGACCCTGCCCTGGTCGCCCCACAATGCAGGGGACACGGAGAGCTGCATTACGGAACCACCCAGACGACTCCCACGGGGCCACAGATGCCCCAGAGGATGAGACAGGGCGCCCCTGGTTCTCGCTGCAGCCCAACCCCGCTCTAAGCGGCAGGGGACTGAGGGCCAAGCCGGCCTGACGAGTCCCTTGTCTGCAGACTCCGGGTCTGGCGGGAAGCCGGGGTCCTGCCACACCCAGTTCCACGGGGTTGCAAACTCCCTAGCACAGCCGGCCACGCACACTCACCATTTTGTTTCAGAACTCGCAGGTCATAGGCAAACTAAGGCTGAGGGTCACCTGAGTTTCCCAAAGCAAAGAAAAAGGAGCAGTGAGAACAAAGGGCATCATGGAGGACCGGAATAAGACAAAGGCACGGCCAGGTCCCGGAAGTCCCGCCCTCCCACTGCAAGCCTGATTGGACAGTTCCAATGCAAGTATTTCTGATTCGCTCGGGCTCTGGGCCACACCCCTCACAGCCCTGATTGACATACAATGGGATCCCACCTACTAATGGCAGCAACCAGGGCTTTCTCTCTGCATTGGGACCCAGCACCACCTGGAGGATATTTGCATTTAACCTTGTATATAGGTTATATCCCAGCCTGGCATGATGGCTCATGCGTGTAATCCTAGCACTCTGGGAAACCGGGCGGCAGGATTGCTTCAGGACTTTGATAGCACCCTGAGCAAGAGGGAGACCCCGTCTTTACTAAAAAATTAGAAAGAAAATAGCCAAACAACTAAAAAAAAAATGAACCAGACATGGTGGCACATGCCAGTAGTCCCAGGTACTCGGGAGGCTGAGGCAGGAAGATTTTTGAGTCCAAGAGTTTGAGGTTGCTGTGAGCTAGGCTGATGCCAGGGCAATCTAGCCCTGGGGGCACTCTAGCCCCGGGTGACAGAGCAAGACTTTGTCTAAAAAAAATTATATCCACTTATAAATAATTTATATCATATTCAAATCAAAATGTCTATATTACCCAAACTGATCTACAGATTCAATGCAATACCTATTAAAATCCCATCAGCAGCACAAATCATCCCATCTGTCTCAGGAACATCAACAACAGGTGACGCGGCCCTCAAGCCTGCCAAACTAGTGACCATGGCAGAGTTGAATGTCATCCTTTTGCAACAGCAGTTGCAAGCTCCGTGTGTGTCACAGTACCACAGACCACCAATACCCCTAATGTCTCAGGCTTAGGGACCTCTTCCTCCAGAAAACCTGCCCATCTAGGGCAGTCCCCACCTTCTGGCACCATCTATCGCTCTGAGTGGGCGGTCTCACTTGGCATTAAAGGATTACAAGAAGCACCACTATGCAGAGCACCACAAAGAATGTTGAGCACAAATAATGCCCTCTTGGTCCCAGACAGTCTAAAAGGCACAGATAAATGCAGAAATGTACCTGAGTTTTCTGACTAATTCAAGAAAATGAAGGTAGGTTAATGATAAAGACTCCAGCTTTCACCAGTGATGGTGACAAAATAATGTGACAACGTATGTGTGGATGTGTTTTCTGAGGACCCTTCTCAAAAAACAATCACTGTCCATTCACATTTGGAAAATCAAACTAACAAAAATTGTAAGCCCCCCATTATATGCCGAAATAAAAAAAAATTGTAAGCCAAAAAAGATGCTTGTAGCAGCCCAGCCTCCATGGCCTCCTTGGGAAATTCCACTATTTTGAAATCCAAAGAAAGAAGCTTGCATGAAAAAGCCAGCACACCTGTTGTGGAATACAGCACACCAGCACCTCAAAGTGATGTGCCAATGCTGGGCATAAATGCCACCACAAGAGTTGGTCCAGGCCTCAACATGCCTCCAGTTAGGGACCACCTCATTAACCAAATGGCAGCTGGTTTGAGAACATGCCTGGAAATGACCAGCTCTAAACACTGCTACCTTTGGGATGGTCCCCAAAACTAGTAAGAACAGCAAGCTGACCAGAACAGGTGCCACTTACAAAAGGCTGCACATCATGTTTCCCCAGATAAGTGTGGTGGCTGCAGGGGTGGCCTAAGTGTGCTTCCCAATGAGTGGGGTTTGATCCTCTACCTCACATGAGAGTACCTATCCTCCCTCCAAACCTGGTAAGAATCCCTAGGTGGAAACCTACATATTCCTTCTACATTACTACAGTGTTTCTGATGCAACCTGTTCCCTTTACCCTCATGCCCTCATTGGACCTTGAATCCCTCAGAATGCTCACCAGATCACCATCCTCAACCAGGGTGAACATCTGCAACCCATGAGACATGTGTACATGAGTAGGAAGGGTTGCATCAAGATCTGGGACATCAATCCCCTGGCAATAAGAGTTCTGTTTCTCAGCTTTACTGTCTAAATAAAGATATTTATATCCATTTCTATAATTGCCACCTGATTGGCACTCTGGTAGTGATAGGGGAAGCCAGTGCTTTGCCCATTTGAGACCTGGCAGGTCAGACCTCATACATCAAAGCAGAACTGACATCCCCAGCTGCTACCTGCTATATCCTGGCCATCAGCCTGAATTCCAAGGTCTGCTTCTCACACTGTGATGTCACAGATCTGCACAACCAGAAACTAATGAGACAGTTCCAGGGCCACATAGATACAGTCAGGTGTATTGACATTTGTAATGATGGCACCAAGCTCTGGGGGACAGTTTGGACAGCACTGTCAGATCCTGGGTCTTGTGTGAGGATGACAGCTGCAGCAGAATGACGCACCTCCCAGATCTTCTCCCTGGGATACTGCCCCATTAGAGAGTGGCTGACTGTGGGCACGGAGAGCAGCCATATGGAGATGTTGCTAGTATAATATGGAGCCTGTTCTCTCATTTTCAGGGACATGGGACCCCACCCACAGCCAGAACTCCCGACCTTGAGCAATCCGCCCGCCTCGGCCTCCCAGAGAGCTAGGATTACAGGCGTGAGCCACCGCGCCCGGCCTTATAATTTACCTTTAATCCCTGTCTCCCTGAAAAGTATAAAACAAAACTTTAACTCAACCATGGCAAGGACACTTGCTCAAGGCTTCTTGGGCATTGCTTGGGCCATAGTCCTCAAATTTGGCTCAGAATAAACCTTTTTAAATTATTTGACAGAATTTTCATTCTTTTGCATTGACACCAGGAACCAAGCTGCAGGCCAGCCATTCAAGTTCACTATCATGCAATCCCTGGACCAGATTAAGGAGATATTCCAGTTTCTACAGTTGCAGTATCACCACCTTCTAATGGAATATGAGAAACCGGTAAGTGAAAAGACAGAAATTGGAAGGCACGATGTGATGTATTATGAAATGTCATATGGATTAAACACTGAAATGCACAAACAGGCTGAAATCACCAAGAAATTGAATGTGACATGTGCACAAATCATCCCATCTGTCTCAGGAACATCAACAACAGGTGACGCGGCCCTCAAGCCTGCCAAACTAGTGACCATGGCAGGGTTGAATGTCATCCTTTTGCAACAGCAGTTGCAAGCTCCGTGTGTGTCACAGTACCACAGACCACCAATATCCCTAATGTCTCAGGCTTAGGGACCTCTTCCTCCAGAAAACCTGCCCATCTAGGGCAGTCCCCACCTTCTGGCACCATCTATCGCTCTGAGTGGGCGGTCTCACTTGGCATTAAAGGATTACAAGAAGCACCACTATGCAGAGCACCACAAAGAATGTTGAGCACAAATAATGCCCTCTTGGTCCCAGACAGTCTAAAAGGCACAGATAAATGCAGAAATGTACCTGAGTTTTCTGACTAATTCAAGAAAATGAAGGTAGGTTAATGATAAAGACTCCAGCTTTCACCAGTGATGGTGACAAAATATGTGACAACGTATGTGTGGATGTGTTTTCTGAGGACCCTTCTCAAAAAACAATCACTGTCCATTCACATTTGGAAAATCAAACTAACAAAAATTGTAAGCCCCCCATTATATGCCGAAATAAAAAAAAATTGTAAGCCAAAAAAGATACTTGTAGCAGCCCAGCCTCCATGGCCTCCTTGGGAAATTCCACTATTTTGAAATCCAAAGAAAGAAGCTTGCATGAAAAAGCCAGCACACCTGTTGTGGAATACAGCACACCAGCACCTCAAAGTGATGTGCCAATGCTGGGCATAAATGCCACCACAAGAGTTGGTCCAGGCCTCAACATGCCTCCAGTTAGGGACCACCTCATTAACCAAATGGCAGCTGGTTTGAGAACATGCCTGGAAATGACCAGCTCTAAACACTGCTACCTTTGGGATGGTCCCCAAAACTAGTAAGAACAGCAAGCTGACCAGAACAGGTGCCACTTACAAAAGGCTGCACATCATGTTTCCCCAGATAAGTGTGGTGGCTGCAGGGGTGGCCTAAGTGTGCTTCCCAATGAGTGGGGTTTGATCCTCTACCTCACATGAGAGTACCTATCCTCCCTCCAAACCTGGTAAGAATCCCTAGGTGGAAACCTACATATTCCTTCTACATTACTACAGTGTTTCTGATGCAACCTGTTCCCTTTACCCTCATGCCCTCATTGGACCTTGAATCCCTCAGAATGCTCACCAGATCACCATCCTCAACCAGGGTGAACATCTGCAACCCATGAGACATGTGTACATGAGTAGGAAGGGTTGCATCAAGATCTGGGACATCAATCCCCTGGCAATAAGAGTTCTGTTTCTCAGCTTGACTGTCTAAATAAAGATATTTATATCCATTTCTATAATTGCTACCTGATTGTGTGGCACTCCGGTAGTAAGAGGGGAAGCCAGTACTTTGCCCATTTGAGACCTGGCAGGTCAGACCTCATGCATCAAAGCAGAACTGACATCCTCAGCTGCTACCTGCTATCCCCTGGCCATCAGCCTGAATTCCAAGGTCTG